TAGTCTAGTCTATAGTCTAGTCTATAGTCTAGTCTATAGTCTAGTCTATAGTCTAGTCTATAGTCTAGTCTATAGTCTAGTCTATAGTCTAGTCTATAGTCTAGTCTATAGTCTAGTCTATAGTCTAGTCTATAGTCTAGTCTATAGTCTAGTCTATAGTCTAGTCTATAGTCTAGTCTAGTCTATAGTCTAGTCTATAGTCTAGTCTATAGTCTAGTCTATAGTCTAGTCTATAGTCTAGTCTATAGTCTAGTCTATAGTCTAGTCTATAGTCTAGTCTATAGTCTAGTCTATAGTCTAGTCTATAGTCTAGTCTATAGTCTAGTCTATAGTCTAGTCTATAGTCTAGTCTATAGTCTAGTCTATAGTCTAGTCTATAGTCTAGTCTATAGTCTAGTCTATAGTCTAGTCTATAGTCTAGTCTATAGTCTAGTCTATAGTCTAGTCTATAGTCTAGTCTATAGTCTAGTCTATAGTCTAGTGCATAGTCTAGTGCATAGTCTAGTCTATAGTCTGTTATGATATGTAGTCTGATATTTGTTTACATCAATGTCTTAACTGAAGTTTAGTGTAAACTCTGGACTATAGTGTATAGCCTTAACCGGTACATATTATAGTCTACAGTTTTTAGCAATAACCTGTCTATACATTTTATAAAAAATTTTCCATATATCAACACATGTCCCACAATTCTCTAACACTTGCTTGTATGTCAGGCCCTAGGTTTGACGAACAGATAATAAGAAAATTTCCTAAATTTTGCTACTATAAATATATGACACATGTTTCAAATAGTATTTTCCCCCCTTAACTCATACACATGGTCAAAACATGTGAATTTATGTGCAATTTCACGGTAAAAGAAAATTTGCCATCAATTTGTATGAAAAACTTTTTTTTTAATTTTTGCTCATTTACTGGCTAGTGTTTGAAAAATTTCCCAATTTCACACTTGAATTGCAATAAAAAAGTGAAAAACATACACGCACACACACTGTTTGAACAGCAGCAGGATTTCCCCGCTTATAAAACAGTGAGTAAGTAAGTGAAGCAAAAGGTCAAAACAAAAACAACTCGAAATACTTGTACACACGATGATACCTTTACATCCACCCACTCTCTCCCTAAAAGAAATAATAACGAAGAGTTTATGACACTGTTGAAATTATTGTTGTTATTATTGAGTTTGTTAGAGTTATTGTTGTTGCTCATTCGTTTGTTATACAATAACAAATCCTTTCATTCCTGCCTACACCAACAACTAGTGTTCGTGTGCAAGCTTGTGATATAAAACAAAAACGAAAGGATTAACAAAAGAGAACGGAAACAAAAAGGTTTTAAAAAGAGATCACGTGTTTGTTTTCGTTTCAATATAAAATATTAAAGCGGCAATTATCAGAGTAGCATTGCATGTGTGTGAGGTGCAAGTATTTGTATTTGTTTTATGTGGTTTTACTATAAATACATGAAAATCAACATGCATGCAGCTTGAAAATTTGGGAAATTTTGGTAATTTTCATAAAAACATAAACGTTGTTTTTTTATTTATTAATTATAAATATTTACTTGCAACCTCATAAATGTATTTAATAACAAAACAAATGAAATTTATTGTTATTTTCTCAAACACACACAATATAAATTATTCGGGCAACTTGTTTAATGAAGGGAAAATCCCATTGTGAAAAATGCGATAAATAAAGGATTTAAATAAAATGTAGTTGTTATATAAATATAAACAAAAATATTGTTTATGAAATTTTGGACTATAGACTAGACTACAGACTAGACTATAGACTAGACTATAGACTAGACTATAGACTAGACTATAGAATAGACTATAGAATAGACTATAGACTAGACTATAGACTAGACTATAGACTAGACTATAGACTAGACTATAGACTAGACTATAGACTAGACTATAGACTAGACTATAGACTAGATTATAGACTAGACTATAGACTAGACTATAGACTAGACTATAGACTAGACTAGACTATAGACTAGACTATAGACTAGACTATAGACTAGACTATAGACTAGACTATAGACTTGACTATAGACTAGATTATAGACTAGACTATAGACTAGACTATAGACTAGACTATAGACTAGACTATAGACTAGACCATAGACTAGACTATAGACTAGACTATAGACTTGACTATAGACTAGATTATAGACTAGACTATAGACTAGACTATAGACTAGACTATAGACTAGACCATAGACTAGACTATAGACTAGACAATAGACTAGACAATAGACTAGACTATAGACTAGACTAGACTATAGACTAGACTATAGACTAGACTATAGACTAGACTATAGACTAGACTATAGACTAGACTATAGACTAGACTATAGACTAGACTATAGACTAGACTATAGACTAGACTATAGACTAGACTATAGACTAGGACTATAGACTAGACTATAGACTAGACTATAGACTAGACTATAGACTAGACTATAGACTAGACTATAGACTAGACTATAGACTAGACTATAGACTAGACTATAGACTAGACTATAGACTAGACTATAGACTAGACTATAGACTAGACTATAGACTAGACTATAGACTATAGACTAGACTATAGACTAGACTATAGACTAGACTATAGACTAGACTATAGACTAGACTATAGACTAGACTATAGACTAGACTATAGACTAGACATAGACTAGACTATAGACTAGACTATAGACTAGACTAGACTATAGACTAGACTATAGACTAGACTATAGACTAGACTATAGACTAGACTATAGACTAGACTATAGACTAGACTATAGACTAGACTATAGACTAGACTATAGACTAGACTATAGACTAGACTATAGACTAGACTATAGACTAGACTATAGACTAGACTATAGACTAGACTATAGACTAGACTATAGACTAGACTATAGACTAGGCTATAGACTAGACTATAGACTAGACTATAGACTAGACTATAGACTAGACTAGAGACTAGACTAGAGACTAGACTATAGACTAGACTATAGACTAGACTAGAGACTAGGACTATAGACTAGACTATAGACTAGACTATAGACTAGACTATAGACTAGGACTATAGACTAGACTATAGACTAGACTATAGACTAGACTATAGACTAGACATAGACTAGACTATAGACTAGACTATAGACTAGACTATAGACTAGACTATAGACTAGACTATAGACTAGACTATAGACTAGACTATAGACTAGACTATAGACTAGACTATAGACTAGACTATAGACTAGACTATAGACTAGACTATAGACTAGACTATAGACTAGACTATAGACTAGACTATAGACTAGACTAGACTAGACTATAGACTAGACTAGACTAGACTAGACTAGACTAGACTAGACTAGACTATAGACTATAGACTAGACTAGACTAGACTATAGACTAGACTATAGACTAGACTATAGACTAGACTATAGACTAGACTATAGACTAGACTATAGACTAGACTATAGACTAGACTATAGACTAGACTATAGACTAGACTCTAGACTAGACTATAGACCAGACTATAGACCAGACTATAGACTAGACTATAGACTAGACTATAGAATAGACTATAGACTAGACTATAGACTAGACTATAGACTAGACTATAGACTAGACTATAGACTAGACTATAGACTAGACTATAGACTAGACTATAGACTAGACTATAGACTAGACTATAGACTAGACTATAGACTAGACTATAGACTAGACTATAGACTAGACTATAGACTAGACTATAGACTAGACTATAGACAAGACTATAGACTAGACTATAGAATAGACTATAGACTAGACTATAGATTATACTACAGATTATACTACAGATCAGACTATAGACTAGACTATATATTAGACTATAGATTACACTAAAGAGCACACTTTAGACTAAACTAGACTATAGACTAGACTGTAGACTAGACTATAGGCTAGACTATAGATTATACTATATACTAAATTCAAGCTGTAGAAAAATGAATAGTCAAACTATGAACAAAACTGTAGTCAAACTATAGACTGAACTATAGTCAACCTATAGACTAAACTATAGTCAAACTCTAGTCTTGATTAATTTTTTTAAATATCTTAAGAAAGTTTAATAAATTTCTTTCAAACTTTTTGCTCTCAAATTTCTTTTTTTCTGACCCCTTAGTTTCATTATCAGCAAAATATTATAAATTAGAAATACATTTGACAAACAGCAGCATTTCACATAAATCCATACAAACAATGCTATTTTCTACAAGGTGTTTTCACCATTTCTCTCTTATTTACAATAATTATTTATTTTCATTTTCAGCAAAAAAAATCCAACAAAAATAGCGACAAAAAGTGACAAGTTGCATCCCGTTGTAAAGTCTCAACATCATCACTGTCAACGTAAAGCCAGGTTATTTACAACCAAAAGCTGCATTTGTCATAGTTCCCTCCTCCCCTCCTCCCCGCTGCCCATAACTATACTCTAACATTATTATACAGTGTATGGCTATTTTCTTTTGGTACTTGCCACAGCAGCTGTGTGATTGTATGATTGCAACTTAAGGTCAACAATATAATGCAGGGGAAAATGAAAGCATCAACAACAACAAAAAAGCTCAATTTGCAATATGTGCAACGTCACTTTTTGCTATGTTTCAGATAAAAACGCATTTGGTGTTTAACACCCGAATACATTTTTTTTAATGAAATTCATATGGTGCCATTTCAAAGGGGGAGATTTTTCAGTGGGATTTTTTTTGTTGTTGTGCAACAACGAACAACATTTATTGATAGTGTCAGCATCATGATTAAGAATTATAGATGAATATATTCAAAAAGAAATGTAGCGAAATTTAAAAAATAATTTTGCAGCAGGGGTTTTGGGAAAAATTTAATTTTTTCTTAAATATAATTTCTTTTTCAACATCTGTTTAATTTTTTTTCTTTAAATTATTCAATTAAATTTCACTTTTTTATAGTAAAAATTTTAAACACTCACCTGATGTCTTGTCTTAACGATTGATCGCCTAATAATAATTCAAAACCGCCTTTTGATATGCTACTATTTGGACTATAACTTAATTGTGTTAAATTATTAGTTAAACTATTTGTATTTAATTGTAAAACGTCATCATTTTCTTCATCATCATCGTCGGTTAGTAACTGGAATTAGAAGGTAATACAACAACAAATTAGAAAAAACAATATAGAAAAACTAACTATCCTGCATACTAGTTTATAATCCAGACCATAGACTAGACTACAGTCTAGTTTATAGTCCCGACTATAGACTAGACTACAGTCTAGTTTATAGTCCCGACTATAGACTAGACTACAGTCCAGTTTATAGTCCCGACTATAGACTAGACTACAGTCCAGTTTATAGTCCCGACTATAGACTAGACTACAGTCTAGTTTATAGTCCCGACTATAGACTTGACTACAGTCTAGTTTATAGTCCTGACTATAGACTTGACTACAGTCTAGTTTATAGTCCCGACTATAGACTTGACTACAGTCTAGTTTATAGTCCCGACTATACACTTGACTACAGTCTAGTTTATAGTCCCGACTATAGACTTGACTACAGTCTAGTTTATAGTCCCGACTATAGACTAGACTACTGGACTACAGTCTAGTATATAGTCCATACTATAGACTAGACTACAGTCTACTTTATAGACCAGACTATAGACTAGACTACAGCCTAGTTTATAATATAAACTGGTTTATAAACTAGACTACGGACAGGACTATAGTCTAGTTTATAATCCAAACTATAGACTAGCCTATAGTCTAGTTTATAGTCCAAACTATAGGCTATAGTCTAGTCTAGTTTATAGCCTAAACTATAGACTTTGAAGTAAAGCTGTTTTTTTATAGTCTAGTCTATTCTATCTAATCTATGGTCTAGTTTGTAATTTAGTCTATATTCTAGTCTCTAGTGTAGTCTATAGTCTAGTCTATAGTTTAGTTGATAGTTTAGTCTATAGTCTAGTCTATAGTCTAGTTTATAGTCTAGTCTATAGTCTAGTCTATAGTCTAATCTATAGTCTAGTCTATAGTCTAGTCTATAGATTAGTTGATAGTCTAGTTTATAGTCTAGTCTATAGTCTAGTCTATAGTCTAGTTTATAGTCTAGTCTATAGTCTAGTCTATAGTCTAGTCTATATTCTAGTCTATAGTCTAGTCTATAGTCTAGTCTATAGTCTAGGCTATAGTCTAATCTATAGTCTAGTCTATAGTCTAGTCTATAGTTTAGTTGATAGTCTAGTTTATAGTCTAGTCTATAGTCTAGTCTATAGTCTAGTTATAGTCTAGTCTATAGTCTAGTCTATAGTCTAGTCTATAGTCTAGTCTATAGTCTAGTCTATAGTCTAGTCTATAGTCTAAGTCTATAGTCTAGTCTATAGTCTAGTCTATAGTCTAGTCTATAGTCTAGTCTATAGTCTAGTCTATAGTCTAGTCTATAGTCTAGTCTATAGTCTAGTCTATAGTCTAGTCTATAGTCTAGTCTATAGTCTAGTCTATAGTCTAGTCTAGTCTATAGTCTAGTCTATAGTCTAGTCTATAGTCTAGTCTATAGTCTAGTCTATAGTCTAGTCTATAGTCTAGTCTATAGTCTAGTCTAGTCTATAGTCTAGTCTATAGTCTAGTCTAGTCTATAGTCTAGTCTATAGTCTAGTCTATAGTCTAGTCTATAGTCTAGTCTATAGTCTTGTCTATAGTCTAGTCTATAGTCTAGTCTATAGTCTAGTCTATAGTCTAGTCTATAGTCTAGTCTATAGTCTAGTCCATAGTCTAGTCTATAGTCTAGTCTATAGTCTAGTCTATAGTCTAGTCTATAGGCTAGTCTATAGTCTAGTCTATAGTCTAGTCTATAGGTCTAGTCTATAGTCTAGTCTATAGTCTAGTATATAGTCTACAGTCTAGTCTATAGTCTACAGTCTAGTCTATAGTCTAGTCTATAGTCTAGTCTATAGTCTAGTCTATAGTCTAGTCTATAGTCTAGTCTATAGTCCTAGTCTATAGTCTAGTCTATAGTCTAGTCTATAGTCTAGTCTGTAGTCTAGTCTATAGTCTAGTCTATAGTCTAGTCTATAGTCTAGTCTATAGTCTAGTCTACAGTCTAGTCTATAGTCTAGTCTATAGTCTAGTCTATAGTCTAGTCTATAGTCTAGTCTATAGTCTAGTCTATAGTCTAGTCTATAGTCTAGTCTATAGTCTAGTCTATAGTCTAGTCTATAGTCTAGTCTATAGTCTAGTCTATAGTCTAGTCTATAGTCTAGTCTATAGTCTAGTCTATAGTCCTAGTCTATAGTCTAGTCTAGTATAGTCTATAGTCTAGTCTATAGTCTAGTCTATAGTCTAGTCTATAGTCTAGTCTATAGTCTAGTCTATAGTCTAGTCTATAGTCTAGTCTTAGTCTAGTCTTAGTCTAGTCTATAGTCTAGTCTATAGTCTAGTCTATAGTCTAGTCTATAGTCTAGTCTATAGTCTAGTCTATAGTCTAGTCTATAGTCTAGTCTATAGTCTAGTCTATAGTCTAGTCTATAGTCTAGTCTATAGTCTAGTCTATAGTCTAGACTATAGTCTAGTCTATAGTCTAGTCTATAGTCTAGTCTATAGTCTAGTCTATAGTCTAGTCTATAGTCTAGTCTATAGTCTATTCTATAGTCTAGTCTATTGTCTAGTCTATAGTCTAGTCTATAGTCTAGTCTATAGTCTAGTCTATAGTCTAGTCTATAGTCTAGTCTATAGTCTAGTCTATAGTCTAGTCTATAGTCTAGTCTATAGTCTTGTCTATAGTCTAGTCTATAGTCTAGTCTATAGTCCTAGTCTATAGTCTAGTCTATAGTCCAGTCTATAGTCTAGTCTATAGTCTAGTCTATAGTCCAGTCTATAGTCTAGTCTATAGTCTAGTCTATAGTCTAGTCTATAGTCTAGTCTATAGTCTAGTCCATAGTCTAGTCCATAGTCTTTAAAGAAGTTTATAGTCCAGCCTTATTTAAAGTCTTAACTAGTTTGTAGTGTAAACTATTGATAACAGACTAGACTGTAATCTAGCTTATAGTCCATATAGACGCCAGTCTATAACCTAGTTTAAAGACGACACTATAGTCTAGTTTATAATTGAGACTGTAGACTAAATTTTATTTTAGTTTATAGTCCCGTCTATAGGCTAGACTATAGTCGAGTTTAAAGTCGAGTCTAGTTTCTATGCTAGACTATAGACTAGATTATATCCTGATCTAGTTAGGCCACTGTCCAGTTTTTCAGTAGTTCAGCCTATAGTCTTGTCCACAGTTTTAACTATAATCTAGATTATTGCCTTTCCTATAATTTGTATTATTTATTTTCTTGTCTTCATTATTTCCAATTTTACCTCTCTTCTCGGTGGTTGTTGCTGCTGCTGCTGCTGTAACTGCTGTTGTTGTTTTTGTTGTTGTAGATTATTTGTTGTTATATATAAATCACAATTATTGCTACTAATAAGATTTGTTGCTGATATTTGTTGCCCTCTATTCGAAAGGCTTGGTATATGTGATGATGTTGGTAATGATGATGATAATGGTGGTACTGATGTTGCTCCTAATGTTGGAGCTACAGTTGTGGCTGCTGCTGTTATTAATGATGTAGTAGTATTAGTTGCTGCTGCTGTTGCTTGTGTTAACTGGGCATTTGAGGCAATTGCTGAATTTGATAAATTACTACAGGTCGATGATAATTTTTGTGTTGTATTACAGTTATTATTCGAATGAAGTAAAGCTGTTGCGGTTGCTGCTGCAGCTGCTAACGATGAGGCTGTGGCCAGTGATGATGTTGCTGCTGTTGCTCCAGCTACTCCTGCTGCTGTTGTTGCAGTAGTTTGTGATGATTTTAAATTATTGTTATTATTATTGAGAAGTAAAGGTTGCTGCACAATGGGTTGAGGTGCTGTTTTCGCTGTGTGAGGTAAATCTACCACATCCTTGGCTAAACGGGGCGAGGTTAAAGTTTGCGCATCCACATAGATTTTATTGGGCGGGGGTAGTTGTAAAGGCGGTGGTATATGATCGTGATACGTTGATGCTTTTGCTGCTGCTGTTGTTGAGGTCGTTTGATGTACATCCACTGTGGCACTTATGGTATTGGTTTGTGATTTTCTTCGACCCAAAGTGGAACTATTACCCGCTATTAAAGGCGCTGTGGAGCTATGTGTGCTATTATTAAAGGGGGTGCTTACAACGGTGGCGGCTGTGGGTGTGGGTATTTCAGCATGTTTATTTTTATAGTTAATAAAATTAATATTACACAGATTAGCACCTAAAGCCGCCAAATCATCGTCATCATCATCCTCTTCCTTTACTTCCAAATGCTGTAGACTGCGGGCTATAGTCAGTTTTTTATGCTGCAATCCGGGGGGTAATTTTGATAAGGGTGTAGCTTGGAATATACTATTATGATTTGTCAATATTGAGGTGTTGTTGGTGTTGCTAGTACTAACTGCTGCTGTTGCTGTTGTTCCTGTTAATGCAACTTGTTGATAATTATTGTTGACATTCCTATCGCCTGCTATTCCAGCTATAGCAGTTGTTGTATTGTTGCTTATTGTTGCTGCTGTAGGTTGTTTACTACTACCAGCTGTTGCTGCTGCTACGGTGGCTGTGGCCAGTAATGCTATGCCTCCACCACTGCTGGGTGGTTGTTGTGTTGTTTGTTGCGTTGATTTAACTGAACTTGCATTAGTCGTTGTTGACGCTATTGCTGTTGGTGTTATTGTTGTTGCACTTATTAGACCAGCTGTTGCTGAGGTCGATGCTGTTGTTAAGGTCGTACTACTGCAGGCCGTATGATTGCTATTGAATGAGGTCACATAGATGGGGGAGGCTTCATTTAGGAAACTTAAATCGTGTTTTTGTGTTGAGGGTGCACCACCTTTCGTCTGTTGTAACTGGAAGGAGAATAAATAAATGGAAATAATTTAGATTAAAAGAAAATTGGATTTTGTTGTTGTTGTTAAAAACTATGTAAATAGGAAATTTAATTTGATAAACTTGTTGTTATTAATAATATTTTAGTGTTGTCTTGAACTTAGTCCTGATTTTATACTGGAGTAAAATCTTGTCCAGATTATAGACTGGACTATAGACTAGACCATAAACTAGACTATAGACTAGACTAAAAAAACTATACTATAGACTAGACTGTAGACTAGACTATACACCAGACTATAGTCTATAGACTATACTAAAGACAAGAGTATACTTAAGATTAGACTATACTAAAGACTAGACTATAGAATAGTCTATAGACTAGACAAGAGATTAGACTGTAGACTAGACTATAGACTAGACTATAGACTAGACTATAGACTAGACTATAGACTAGACTATAGAATAGTCTATAGACCTAGACAAGTGACTAGACTGTAGACTATACTATAGACCAGACTATAGCCTAGACGTTAAACTAGACAAAAGCCTAGACTGTAGTCTAGACTAGACTATAGACTAGACTATAGACTAGACTATAGACTAGACTATAGACTAGACTATAGACTAGACTATAGACTAGATTATAGACTAGACTATAGACTAGACTATAGACTAGACTATAGACTAGACTATAGACTAGATTATAGACTAGACTATAGACTAGACTATAGACTAGACTACAGACTAGCTATAGACTAGACTATAAGACTAGACTATACACTAGACTTAGACTAGACTATAGACTAGACTATAGACTAGACTATAGACTAGACTATAGACTAGACTATAGACTAGACTATAGCCTAGACTATAGACTAGACTACTAGACTAGACTATAGACTAGACTTAGACTAGACTATAGACTAGACTATAGACTAGACTATAGACTAGACTATAGACTAGACTATAGACTAGACTATAGACTAGACTATAGACTAGACTATAGACTAGACACTATAGACTAGACTATAGACTAGACTATAGACTAGACTCTAGACTAGACTATAGACTAGACTATAGACTAGACTATAGACTAGAATATAGACTAGACTATAGACTAGACTATAGACTAGACTATAGACTAGACTATAGACTAGACTATAGACTAGACTATAGACTAGACTATAGACTAGACTATAGACTAGACTATAGACTAGACATAGACTAGACTATAGACTAGACATAGACTAGACTATAGACTAGACTATAGACTAGACTATAGAATAGACTATAGACTAGACTATAGACTAGACATAGACTAGACTATAGACTAGACTATAGACTAGACTAGGACTAGACTATAGACCTAGACTATAGACTAGACTATAGACTAGACTATAGACTAGACTATAGACTAGACTATAGACTAGACTATAGACTAGACTATAGACTAGACTATAGACTAGACTATAGACTAGACTATAGACTAGACTATAGACTAGACTATAGACTAGACTATAGACTAGACTATAGATAGACTATAGACTAGACTATAGACTAGACTATAGACTAGACTATAGACTAGACTATAGACTAGACTATAGACTAGACTATAGACTAGACTATAGACTAGACTATAGACTAGACTATAGACTAGACTATAGACTAGACTATAGACTAGACTATAGACTAGACTATAGACTAGACTATAGACTATACTATATACTAGACTATAGACTAGACTATAGACTAGACTATAGACTAGACTATAGACTAGACTATAGACTAGACTATAGACTAGACTATAGACTAGACTATAGACTAGACTATAGACTAGACTATAGACTAGACTATAGACTAGACTATAGACTAGACTATAGACTAGACTATAGACTAGACTATAGACTAGACTATAGACTTGACTATAGACTAGACTATAGACTAGACTATAGACTAGACTATAGACTAGACTATAGACTAGACTATAGACTAGACTATAGACTAGACTATAGACTAGACTATAGACTAGACTATAGACTAGACTATAGACTAGACTATAGACTAGACTATAGACTAGACTATAGACTAGACTATAAACTAGACTATAGACTATACGATAGACTAGACTATAGACTAGACTATAGACTAGACTATAGACTAGACTATAGACTAGACTATAGACTAGACTATAGCCTAGACTATAGACTAGACTATAGACTATACTATAGACTTTACTATAAACTAGACTATAGACTAGACTATAGACTAGACAATAGACTAGACTATAGACTAGACTTTAGACTAGACTATAGACTAGACTATAGACTAGACTAAAGACTAGACTATAGACTAGACTATAGACTAGACTATAGACTAGACTATAGACTAGACTATAGACTAGACTATAGACTAGGCTATAGACTAGACCATAGACTAGACTATAGACTAGACTATAGACTAGACTATAGACTAGACTATAGACTAGACTATAGACTAGACTATAGACTAGACTATAGACTAGACTATAGACTAGACTATAGACTAGACTATAGACTAGACTATAGACTAGACTATAGACTAGACTATAGACTAGACTATAGACTAGACTATAGACTAGACTAAAGACTACAGACTAGACTATAGACTACAGACTAGACTATAGACTACAGATTAGACTATAGACTACAGACTAGACTATAGACTACAGACTAGACTATAGACTACAGACTACACTATAGACTAGACTATAGACTACACTATAGACTAGACTATAGACTAGACTATAGACTAGACTATAAACTAGACTATAGACTAGACTATAGACTAGACTATAGACTAGACTATAGACTAGACTATAGACTAGACTATAGACTAGACTATAGACTAGACTATAGACTAGACTATAGACTAGACTATAGACTAGACTATAGACTAGACTATAGACTAGACTATAGACTAGACTATAGACTAGACTATAGACTAGACTATAGACTAGACTATAGACTAGACTATAGACTAGACTATTGACTAGACTATAGACTAGACTATAGACTAGACTATAGACTAGACTATAGACTAGACTATAGACTAGACTATAGACTAGACTATAGACTAGACTATAGACTAGACTATAGACTAGACTATAGACTAGACTATAGACTAGACTATAGACTAGACTATAGACTAGACTATAGACTAGACTATAGACTAGACTATAGACTAGACTATAGACTAGACTATAGACTATAGACTATAGACTAGACTATAGACTAGACTATAGACTAGACTATAGACTAGACTATAGACTAGACTATAGACTAGACTATAGACTAGACTATAGACTAGACTATAGACTAGACTATAGACTAGACTATAGACTAGACTATAGACTAGACTATAGACTAGACTATAGACTAGACTATAGACTAGACTATAGACTAGACTATAGACTAGACTATAGACTAGACTATAGACTAGACTATAGACTAGACTATAGACTAGACTATAGACTAGACTATAGACTAGACTATAGACTAGACTATAGACTAGACTATAGACTATAGACTAGACTATAGACTAGACTATAGACTAGACTATAGACTAGACTATAGACTAGACTATAGACTAGACTATAGACTAGACTATAGACTAGACTATAGACTAGACTATAGACTAGACTATAGACTAGACTATAGACTAGACTATAGACTAGACTATAGACTAGACTATAGACTAGACTATAGACTAGACTATAGACTAGACTATAGACTAGACTATAGACTAGACTATAGACTAGACTATAGACTAGACTATAGACTAGACTATAGACTAGACTATAGACTAGACTATAGACTAGACTATACAGTGTAGTCTTAGACTATAGTCTAGGCTCATTTCTTTTGACCTTATTTATAATTTACTTTCGATTTATTTTTGTAAATTAATTCCCCTGTAATGGAAATGTATGAGTTTTCCGCCACAAAAGCCAAGAGCCGTTATCGTATGGGAAATAAACATAAAAACCTTTGGTAACAACTACAACAGCAGGATATAGACTAGAAAAAAACGCAATTTATTGTTTGTAACATTTGATTAAGTGTTAGAGAAAAGCCACAAACAATTAAATAAATAGGAAATGAAATAAAATAAAAACTAATAAATTGGAGGGAAAAAACTATAACAAAAATGAGAAAAAGGGAAATTTTTAATGGAGAGGTTAGAAAAAAAGTTGTAATAAAAAAATTTAAGAATTTTTTTCAAGTTTTCTTTAAATTACTCTTTTTACTTTAAATTTACATTTACAACAAAACACACCTAAATAATTCCGAAAAAAACTTTAAGCAAATTTATCTGCATATAAATTCAATGCAAATAATTTTAATCTCAAAATGCGAGAGAATAACAAAAACAACAACAAATATAATAACAAAAATAACAACAAAAAACTGAAACAAAAATATGCATTATTAAATTATGCAAATTTTGTGAACTGCAACAGAAAATAATACACAATCTTTCAAACGCCAGGTAAAAGGAAAGGGATCAAGAGACAGAGAGAGAGAGAGGGAGGAGTTGGGGATAGGAGAGTCAGGAGATTTCAGAAAAGACAACAGAAATCAAAAGACAAATGTGAATTTGTGTTTTACGTGAAATAAATCACCATATCATAAAGATTTAACAAAATGCGAAAAACTGCAACTAATTGGGAGGAATGGAAACAAAATTATGCAGAAATAAAAAACAGGAACAACAACAGATGTTTAAATCCGGAATAACAAAAAGACTTTCAGATGATTAAATAAATTTTAAGATAAACTGGTGTGGGAAGTGAGAGATCTAAAATAATTTTTGAACCTAGAAAAAAAGGTGTAAATTTTTTAAGGAAATCAATAAAATTTGTGTCTAAACATAAATTCCAGGCTTAAAACAAGATTTTTTCAAGTTCGAAAATTTTTCGAACTTAAATTCGAATTTTCGAACATGGAAAAAAACATTTACATTTAATGAAAATTGTTGA